AGAGAGAGAGAGAGAGAGAGAGAGAGAAAGAAGAAAGAAAGAAAGAAAGAAAGAAAGAAAGAAAGAAAGGAAGGAAGGAAGGAAGGAAGGAAGGAAGGAAGGAAGGAAGGAAGGAAGAAAGAAAGAAAGAAAGAAAGAAAGAAAGAAAGAAAGAAAGAAAGAAAGAAAGAAAGAAAGAAAGAAAGAAAGAAAGAAAAATAAAAATAAAAATAAGAAAATTTGAGCCCATTGCCGGGGTGGCGAGGGCCAAAGTTGTAACTTTGTGGAGGTAGCATTTTCGAAAGCCCGTCATAAGTTTGAACGGTTGTTAAACGACCCACAGGTCATAAATGGAGGACTAGCGTGTGGGGTGGACACAACAGGAGCAAGTGAAGGCAAAGTTCCCACACCTACCTGGAGACAATCTGGATTCTGGGCTGCAAATTCCTTCCACTCCTGCAAAGAGCAGTGTTTGTGGATGGCCGTGAAGAGAGAGAACTGGGGGGAAGGAAATAAGATGGAAAGGATGAAGCGAGGGGTTAAGACACCTGGCTAGAAAACGGCAGAGCGTAGTTCCCGCCTTAGGCACAAAAGCCAACTAAGTGATCCTGGGCTGGTCCCTGCCTCTCAGTCCAGCCCACCTCACAAGGTTGTTGCTTTCGGGAAAATAGAAGGACGGTGTGATGGACATGTTCGCTGTCTTCAATTATTTGTAAAAGAAAGGGAGGGAGGGAGGGAGGGAGGGAGAAGAGAGTGAGAGTAAGAAAGGAAAGAAAAAAGAGAAGGAAGGGAAGAGGGAAGAGAGGGGGGAGAGAAGGAAGGAGGGAAGGAAGGAAGGAGGGGAAGGAAGAAAAGGAAGGAAGAAAAGGAAAGAGTAAAAGAGAGGGAAGGAGGAAGAGGTGGGAAGGAGAGGAAGGAGGGAGGGAAGGAAAGAAAGAAAAAGAAAGTAAGGGATGGAGGGGGAAGGAAAGAAAAAAGAAAAGAAAGAAAAAAAGGAACAAGGGAATAGAGAGAGAAAGGAGGGAGGGAAGGATGGAGAGAAAAGGAAGGAAGGAAGGAGGGAAGGAAGGAAGGAGAGAAAGAAAAGGAAGGAAGAAAAGTAAAGAGTAAAAGAGAGGGAGGGAGGAAGAGGTGGGAAGGAGAGGAAGGAAGGAGGGAGGGAAGGAAAGAAAGAAAAAGAAAGTAAGGGATGGAGGGGGAAAGAAAGAAAAAAGAAAAGAAAGAAAAAAAGGAAAAAGGAACAAGGGAATAGAGAGAGAAAGGAGGGAGGGAAGGATGGAGAGAAAAGGAAGGAAGGAGGGAGGGAAGGAAGGAGAGAAAGAAAAGGAAGGAAGAAAAGGAAAGTAAAAGAGAGGGAGGGAGGAAGAGGGGGGAAGGAGAGGAGGGAAGGAAGGAAAGAAAAAGAAAGTAAGGGATGGAGGGGAAAGAAAGAAAAAAGAAAAAAAAGAAAAAAAAGGAAAAAGGGAATAGAGAGAGAAAGGAGGGAGGGAAGGATGGAGAGGGAAGGAAGGAAGGAAGGAAGGAAGGAAGGAAGGAAGGAAGGAAGGAAGGAAGGAAGGAAGGAAGACCTTATGCCAGCCTTTCTCAACTCAGCTGGCTGGGAGGGTTCTGGGAGTTGGAAGCCCACCCATCCTCAAGGGGCCCAGGTTGACAAACCCTGCCTAAGGCAAAGGCATATATATATATTTTTTTTTTAAAAAAAGAAAATCTGGGTTTTTGGGGGAAAAAACATACCTTGCACAAAGCCTTGGCCATCTCAAAGGTCCCCACAGTGTCCATGTTGGCCGCGATGATGGGTATCCCCGTGTAGGTCTGCTTGGAGTTACGGAAGGTGAAGGACCTCATAAGATCCACCTAGAACAAGACAGAAGGAGCCGGGGGGGGGGGGGGGGCTTCAAACATTTGAACCGCCGGTTCTCTGCCCGGCTGCTGGGTGGGTGTGCCCGTGGTGAGTGTGGCCTAGCGAGCGGGGTCATTTTCACCCTCTCAAGGCTCAGGTGAAGGACCGGCCCGCGGTGCCGGCCTGCCCACGAAAACGGACCTCAGGAGGGTCGCTGGTGCCCGCCCGCCCCCCAAGGCAGGCTCCATTTTCTTTGGCAGCAGACTAGCAAAACAAACTAAAAACCGAACAAAAGGAGGAATAATGTTTCCCCTTTGGCATTTGAGCGCGCAAGAAGGGCCAGGCGAGGAGAAAAGGAAAGAGGAAAGATAAAAGAAAAAGGTGGGAAGGTGGGAAGAGAGCAAGGAAGGGAAAAAAAAAGGAAAGAGGGGAAGGGAGAAGGAAGGAGAGGGAAGAGGGAAGGGGGGAGGGAGGGAAAGAAAAAGAAAGGGAAGGAGGGAAAAGAAAAAAGAAAAGAGAACAAGGAAGGAAAAAAGGGGGGAGGGAAGGAAAAATAAGGAAAGAGGGGAAGGGAGAAGAAAAGAGAATGAAGAGGAAGGAAGGTGGGGAAGGAAGAGGGAAGGAAGGAAGGAAGGAAGGAAGGAAGGAAGGAAGGA